CTGCTATACCAATGAAAGCGCTATTTCCGGAGATGACGGCTAGAATACAGCGGTGATGGATGCAGCAGGCCGCGCAGGCCTTGCTAAAAGTGACAGTCGTACGGTAGGCCATGGGGTGACCATTGCTGTATAAAATTTTGGAAGGTTGGATGGCGATGATGAATGCGCGCCTCGATCAACTCGTAGAACTGCCTTCGCAATTCGGGGTGATAGACGTCATCGTTCAGAGATGACAGTTATCATGGTACTATCTTCAGATGATTGATGGCGTGGACCAGCCTTGCGCGCTATCGCCAACGGAACTGATCAGCATGACACTAGGTCTTCGCCGCGAAGACAGCTTCCACTAGGTCTTCGCCGCGTGATGGATGCATTGCCAAAGCCAGACAGTCGTCAGTTCGTACGTCATCGATATGGTCAAAGGCAGCTGCTGCCCAATCGTCACTGAGAAAGGTGAGAAACGTGCAGATGGCGAACGCTGATTGGCTCCAGTGTTCGAAGAACATATATGTATGCGGGAATAACATTTGACCAAATGACTCAAATCAACGAGACACTAGCTTTTTCCGCAATTTCTGCCTCTGCTGAACTTTCCCATGCTGTGAAGATTATATCCTCCTTACATAGTCGTGCATTTTAAAAGCAATATTTATAGAACCCACAACTGATGTACACTAATCAGCCATTACTCTAGTCTCCTCATCAAAATGATCAAAATGTCCGCTTTTAGTACCACAATAATACTGAACTCGCTGACGAAACCTCCAAGCGGTGTTCTGCGAAAATACACGCTCCTTTATCGCTCACTGTGTTGTATTGGTTGCATAATGACCTGGAGTCAGTGCCGATCTTTTTCTTTAACTGTCGCTGTACATGCATAATGTTTTCATCATCTTGGATATCGATCAACAGATCTTTGATTGTCTTATATCTGTGATGAACATGAAGTCGATGGAAAAAGAGATATCGCTAAAAAGGTTGAGGTATGTCATCTTTCCGACTAACACGCCTGCAAGCAATATAATCATATGAAGAAGCAACACGGAACGACGCTGGATTTGGTTTTTTCTCACGAAAAGAAATATTTTATATCATGTCATCTATAGTTCGAAAGGAAGGCTCTGCAAATAGCAAATCGCAGACAACGACCAGAAGGCATTCGACCCCATCGGTATTCCGAGTGGGTATTTCCCGCGGAACCGCAGTCCAAACGACAGCTGTGAGGACATTTGCGAGGAGTTCGAAATTGAGGCTTCAGAATTGAAACCAAGGTTGCACAAAGTCAGTCGATGAGGTTGCACTAAAGAGAACGAAAAGGGGGTTTCTCAAAAAAGACAAAGAAGCGGAGGAACATGAAGAGAGATGAAACCGACATGGCGTAGTACTTTCATCGCTGCATGATCATTAGACGGAAGCTGACGGATGACTCTGACACCTTCCGATTGCAAAACTTAGGGAAAACAGCCGAATACCGAAGAAGTCTCTGAGAATACAGGAAAGAGTTAACGCTTTATCAGTCGATTATTACGACCTCGAAGAACAGAGATGGCGCAGTGACGTATGATATGCAGTTTGTCTACAGGAAAGTTTGCAACCAGCTCACTGTGCCAAAGATATGCACTCCCCTCCCCACAATCACTCCAAGTGTACTCCCGGTCCTCGTTAGCAATACTCGACATGTCGCGCCGGAAATGAAGTATGGAAGAGTCCAGGGAGAGTCGGTCAGACAATGAAAACAGATGGTCAGAAGCTGTAGACGGACGGCTCTAGCGGAGCGGTTCAGTTTCCGCCTTGCTAAGTGGAAATGAAAAAGATTCCCTAAAACCTGAAGGGTGATCGTCTTGTTCAGAAAGAGCGATAAGAAAGATCTGAAGATATATCGATGCATCTACTTGTTCTTGCAAGTCTACACACTGTTCTCTAAGATCCTCACCAACATACTGTCAATAAGACTGCCGAATAGCGGCTAAAGGAACATCAGCGTTCCAGTGCAGCTACAGTACAACGAATAAGATCTTTACCTTGAGTCAACTCCTCGACCGCCAGAACAGATTCCGGCTACGTTTCCGGAGGACGAGCTGGAAGGATGAGATTAGCGTCAGT